CCAGACCTGCATTTGCACAATAATTTGAAGCTGTTAATTAGATGACAACTTTTGATTTCAAAATTTCCTCAGTATCATAAAGCTCCAGTTTGTCTGAATGTTTTAAAATGTTAAAAATATTAAATAAATGACAGAAACAAATCTATATATCTTAAGATATAACTGATATATAAAATAAATGTATTAGAAGAATCTTGGCTGTTATTTACACATTAGAATTTTTCTTGTATTCTAAGGAACTTTCAGATTTTTCTAGAGTATGCGCTAATACTTTTCAAGAACAGTTTTTATACATTGACTGTCTTTGCTTTTGCAGTGTTCACATTATAATTCCATATTTCTTCTACCCCAAGAATTCTCTGTCTATACACCCACACCTATAGCTCTAGCAGTGTTTGAAATACTGGCCTTGGAGTGCAACAATTTGGCAAAATTTAGTTACAAGCCTTCTAAAACCAATGTTTCATTTTATGATATTGTAAAATGACAGTCGACACCTTAAGTAAGAGATAACTGCTATCCTGCTTGGCTCATGCAGGATTTCAAGAATTATTTATTTATATTTACCAAGGTTTTTGTGCTGCTAAATTCCTGTAGGCTGTAGGCAGCTTACAGAAGGTCAAAACATAGGTTTGAAGACATTGGACATATAAAGCAGCAATCAGTGAGCAATAACAACACTACCCATGGGTGCAGGCTAAGCCACCATATCCCCAAGTACGTTGCTAAAAAGACACATCTTTCTGGTTCTTAAGATGTCTGATAAGGTGAAGGAGGACCAGATTCCCAGGGGTAAGCTGTTCCATAGAAATATTACAAGATACTGTATAATACACTGTTTATCTAGAGGAGGAGGAAGCTCCTACCACAGATGAATATTATATACTTCTTTACCCTGATTGTTCAGTGATTTATATCTGCCTAATAACTTTGGCAGTTATAGCGAATCATATGTCACATTATGCAGGTTTGATAAAATACAACACAGAGCATAATAAGACCTTTTTCTGCCTCCTTTTTAAAAATATATATATTTAAAAACCACTAAATAGCATACTTATTCTGGCTGTTTCAGGTAGGATGGCAAATTACAAATATTTTTTTATGATAAAGTCATAGAAAAGAAAGAAAAATATTGGAATTTCTGGGTGTTTTTCAACTAATCTTTCTCACCCATAAAATAAAGGCAATTCCCACCCTCTTGGAGTCTCATTCCTACTGTCAAAATCTGTTCCAGATGGTTGTGAGATCCAAAGGGGTGGAAGATTTTCCAGAGCAGATTTTTAGGGATCCAGGGGAAAAGAAAGAAGAGGAGGTTTTCTTCTAAGTAAAACCAATGAACAAAATCACACCACCAATTGTATAAAATAGTGTTTAAAGAAACTCACAAATACAACTCTATCAAAACTTTGAGCCAATAGAGGAATGAGTTTAAGCAATATAGTATCCTAACAAGCAATACTATTTTTATTGTTAAACTACACTTCCATTGGGACTGCCCATGAAGCCAAGCAGCTGTTCATGTAGATGTGTACAGAGATGACCCAAGAATGCTTTCCAAGCAGCCACACCAAGAGTTCCAGAGGTCGTCACTACCACAGCGCTTAAAGGAGGGGCATTTTGCTTGCACCAACTTCTTTTATAAAGCTCCCCTTTGAATGCTTTGCACAGCCTAGCCTCTTTCAACCAAATCATTTCAAGTGTAGAAAAAGAAATTCAACAGATGCTTTCAACTAGAATAGTCATGCCTTTTCTGTCTATAGGACTTGAGATATGAAGCAGTTAGTTTACATCTCTAACTACTGTTATGGAAGTACCTCCTGAAGTTATAAAGATGATGTATATGTATGCATAATTTTTTGTTACGACATTTTATAAAAATGTAACAGCTAACTATAGGTTACTACTAATGTGTTTGTAACCACTACACTACTATGTGTTTACAATCTGCTAGTTAAGGTGGACACATTTGTAAGGAAAATATGAGAGTCACAGTTGGCTTATTCTGTGAGAAACTGCTGAATACACATTGTCTGGTCTACAGCAGTAGAACTGAACCAATAGGCAGCTAACAGTGTTGTAGGAATGAGACAATCAGCCTGACATCTATCACGGATTCCCATGGTTTTTTATCTGTTCTGCAAAAAATTCTGATCTTTCCCTCTGAATGTTAAAACTAGGTTCTTTTCCAAAGCCAAATACTAAAAACAAGGGGAGATGCCTGATGTATCATTTAGTAGGAACACTCAAGTTATTCTGAACTGCTGCAGTTAGGCTGACTTTAATATTCATATTGCAACATGAATTTAAAACATGGCTTGATCTTACACCTGTTTTTCAGAAGATAGATGTCAGAAACTCTCTAACATAAGACAGATCTCTTCAACTTATGCAAGGGTATTCAATAGTATGGGAAGTGCTAGTAATGCAATAGTTTGATATATGGCTGGAGTCAAAGGCTAGACTATTATTTTAAGATCTGGCTGCCTTTCCTTCAGTTTACTGACAAACAGAACTTGCCCAGGAGAGCAGCCAAGCTTCCTTTGTTTTAGTTACCAAACTCTTCATGACCTTTTATTTTGCTCCTTCCTTTGACTTCACAATGGAAGGCTAAAAGTTGTTTTGTTTAACTTAGTTTTATTCTTAGTTTTGACAAATACCAGTTCATCCATATTCAAAATTAAAGTTCAGTTTGAAACACCAAGGCTTTCGTATTGCATTTATTTACATGCTGCCAGACTTACATAAACGAAGAGCTTCTGATTAGCAGTCATTTTACAGGAAATGGATCACAGTAAAATTTTCCTTACCAAAATGTAATAATCATGGCTTGATTTCTTGTACAGATTTGTGTGCATGGGTGTGTTGAGGGAGGATATGACTTGAATGAAATGCCAATTTAGAGAGATGCCTTATATATGGACACCTTCAATCAGTTTTTCCAGTACGAAATCTGGTGTCTTTTTCATGTTCAGGCATGCTTTCTTTTATTTTTAATACTGCACACTTTTTAAAAACATACTCTAATTTTCTATTTTTTTTCTTTTTCTTTTACAATTTTATTTATAGGTGATTATTTTGTTCGTTAGTTTATACTATCATACAATTTTATGATAAGTGTAATCCTCCTGGAAATTTGCCAGTAACACTGTGGGTGGCACAGTGCTTGTCACACCTCCGTAATACCATAAAGGGTGCTGTAGCATTTCCCTCCTCAAAAACCTGGCCCCTCAGAGGCAGGGCACAGGTGTTGGAAAATGCCCAGCTGTGAACAATATCATACAAGTAGTTAAACTGTGATGTTTTCTAAAAATACTGCTGTTAATTATAATAATGACTGAAAATTCATCAGTTGTTTGCAAAATTGAGATTAAAATATAGAGTAGTACTTTCACCACTAAAAAAAAAAAAGAACCCAGACTTTTGAAAAAGGACAGGAATTATCTGTTATTACTCAAACTCTTAGTCATGATTGCTGTGGATCAACATTCATTCTACTAGTGACTAGAAGTACTGAATGAATGAAGTACTCACATTTCCTATACTTTGTGGTTAAAAACCATTGCATCTGGAAAGCATCAAACTATAGAGGGTTACAGAAATTACAACTAGGAGATAAAAATAATGAGAATTATTTTAAAACTCTTACACTGACTTTCTCCTGTTACAGGTGCAACAACAGAACTCAATGTATAGTAGTTACTGGGTCAGATGTGTTTCCTGATCCTTGTCCTGGAACATATAAATACCTCGAAGTCCAATATGAATGTGTCCCTTACAGTAAGTATAAACTTTTTTTTTTTCTTGTTCCCTTACTCTAGCTTTCACAATTGATGCTGGAACCATACTAGATGGAGAAAAGAAGCACATGTTTATGGCCTGAGAACCATTATGCATGCAGAGCACTTACAGTCTGGGGTCTCCAATTAGCTTCACAAAGTATGGAAAGGAGCCATGGTGTGATGCTGGCCAAGTGTCTGTCTGTGTTCTTAAGTGTTTGGCTTTTAAGGCTACTTTGGTTGATTTTTTTCCTCTCACAAAAAGAAACTTGAATTAGCTATTCAAAAGAGTCAGTAGGAATTTGTACTTTTGCCCAGTACCAGTTCTTGACAAATTGGCTTGGCTTGCAGTTCTGTAAAGAAACTTCTGACTTCACTATTAGTCTTTGAAAAGGCTACCTGCTGTGGTAACTTTGGTTCATGAATTGGAGTGTGCCATGAAAGTATCTGGGAATAATATACCAGGTATTATTAAATTTAGCACAGTTTATTTTCCTCTCAGTTTAAATATCATGATCTTTGTTCAATAATACATCTATAATTATGCATTCATCTTTTTTTCAGCAGAATTCCATATTTTAAAAACTATATATCTGTTTAGTTATATTATGTGGGGCTAAGTGATATAGCTGCATGCAAAGGTTAAGGCACCCCTGGCCAAATTTTATGTTTCAATGAATCCACAAGTGAACAGAAGCTGACACAATCACTACATTGTGCAAAATTAAGTACTGTATCTTTTTGCAAATTTGAATTAAATGTAAGATGTTGGATATTTTAGCAGTCTGAAGACAATCTGAAACAACCCTGCAAATCAGTCATGAGCTACTAACAAATAAGAAGGATAAAGGTGTTGGATTGGCCTTCATAGTCCCCAGACAAAATATTACTCAAAATCAGTGAGGAAATCCCAAACATGCTATGTATACAAATAGACCTAAGAATATTTCTGAACTATAAGACTTCTGAAAGGAAGAGTAAGAAAAAATCCACAAGCAAGAATAGGATTCTGAGCTGGCTACAGTGACATTTAGCAACTGTTAATTTCTTTTGCAAAAAAAGGTATAGGTAGTCCTTGCTTAGCGACCACGATTGGGACCAGAAATTCTGTTGCTAAGTGAAAAATCACATGACTGCAGTGAGCTTATGACCTCACTTCCCCTTCAATGAGGGGGAATTAAGCAAATATCCGTGGTCATTAAATGAAACATCATGTGACTGCAACTTACGTTATTACACATATCTCCTCTATTAACTCTGCTTGTCTCAAGCCAGGTGCAAAGTACTCAAATGGTGATCACATGACTGCAACGGTCATAAATGTGTACCGGTTGCAAAGCACACAATTGGCAATCACGTGACTGCAGGACACTGCGACGGTCATAAATGCAAGATTGGTTGCAAAGCTATATTTTTTTACACTTTTATAAATTTGAATGGTCATTAAATGAGGCAGTAAGCAATGATTACCTATATTGCAAAATACCGACTGAAAGGGTGTCCAAAATCTTTGCACCTGCCATACTTAACTATTTTCTAATTCTGAATCCGTAAATTACTACACATTAATAGTATGCATTCAAATTTGCAGAAAGATTCATTATTAATGTACCATGTTGGGGCTGTGAAACTTCCATTTATTTAGGGATTCATTGAAATGTACAATTTAGGGGTGCCTAAATGTTTGTGTACAACTGTATCTCTCTATATCTAATCCTTTTACAGAGGTGTCTCCAGTCCTCCTCCGATAACAACATCCAATTTATGGATTAGTCACCATTCAGCAGCAAAGTGCAAGTTCTTTGGCTGATCAGATGCTGTCCGCAAATCTTGCATTGCTTGGTTCATCCACTTTCTGAAAAGTTTCACTTTTCTTTTTTAGAATTCCATCGTTAAAAGTACATTCAACTTAGTGTCATATTTTTCCATTAGAAGACACATTTCCTACAACTATAAAATTCAGTGGTGCATTAATTGTGCATCCATTTGTTGCTCATGTCTCATTTAATGATTTTAATATTCACAACCTTAAGCTTTTTTATAGTGAAAGGGAGGTACATATTCCATAAAATGAGACAATTTTGGATCAGTGCTGTTCATGTGTTAAAAACAAGGAATGAACCATGTTAACAACCAAATAATATCTAGACTTCATATTTAGATTATTTTTTTCTTAATTACTTCATTAAAAAAGACTATGATATAATTTGCACTGGCAATATTTAGTATTGAATTCTTATATGAACTTTACTGAGAAGCAGTTAAAGGCCAAACACAGTTCATAATTTCTTTCCATTCTTGCTGTGTATTTCTACCATTGTGTCATTGCAAAACAGATGCTTGTGGTTTTATTTTTCTGTACCATCAGTAGATTTGACACCTACTGCATATGCTGAATTTTAGTATCTGTTTTCCATTGTCTCATCACTGGTGGCTCATTATATCATTTTTCTTGTGGCACATTGGGAGTAATGCATTTTCCCTATTAAGAAAAAAATAATTTTACCTTGAAATTACTATTTTAATTACCAGAAAGAGGCTATGACACCATTCAAATGCCACAGTTCTTATATTTCTTGGAATCATTTCCTGTAGCAGGAGGCAGTGTTTAAATATATGTAAATGTTATTTTCAGATCATTTGCTGGGCTGTTTTAGGGCACAAATGTGGATGCATTCCTGCCAGTCAATTTTTTTTTTCTGTCTACAAAAAATTGATTTCTTTTGCAGTTAACTGAAGGATACTCTGCATGGCATTGCAAAATACTGTTTAGTGCTCATTTATTACATATTTTCTAAGTTTTTCTATGCAGGAATAATATGGATAAGACTTTTTTTCTAATTGATGGACCAAATACAGAGTTTAATTTTGAATAAATATATTAGAAATTGATATTGGGTGAATATTTACATTTTTATTACATGTTATTTTTTAAAATCTCAGGATAGCATGATGATGCTTCTTTGTAATTTATACTGTATTTAAAGCATAAAAATATGTTTGTAGCATATGCTGAACTGAAAATAATTATATAACTGAATAGCATGCATAATCAGGTGCAGAACTGCAGCCTTTCTCATGACTGATCAAGCACCAGCTGATTTCAACTTGCAGATTTAAAAACTAGTGTGGCCAATGGAGCAATGTTAATGTTAATAACTCTTAATTGCAGCCAAAATATACACAGTGCTGCTCATGTTGAGTACCTAATTTTGGTATCACTGCCCTTTATGCTGCAGCCAGTAGGATCTTTCTTTCTTTCTACTGAATGTATCTCTAATTCAAAACCCCCACTCTGTCCCCATAGTGACTGTAAGTTATACTGCCTTACTCCCTTGCCTGCTATTTATAGTGGGTGGAGAGATTTATTCAAGCAAAAGTTAAAGCTATGAGTAATATGGCTGTTCTTTTTCTGTATTATCACTTGCGCCATTACAAAATACTTATTATATCATGCATATACATAATAATATGTAGTAATGCCAAAATAAGGTACATATCTGTCATATGAATGTATCCATATTTCTGATACATATTCAGAATGTTCCTAGAAGCTTTATTTGCTTTTTTGAATCTCCATTCTTTTCCGTACCAACCTACTTTCAAATTTCAACTTTCTTCTTTCTGCAATGCCCAACTTCTTTTTCTTTTTACATTCTGTTTGCAATGGGATTGTAAACCTTTTTGTACACATTTTGAAGGTGTTGAAGGCTTTGCAGTGATCATTCACAGCAACCACCAGTATCTGGGATATCCAAAATTCATGTTACTATTGTTATAAAACTGTGCCTATTGCACATACCATTGTGCATCCTGTTTATTTGCAGTAAAGCACTGTACTGCATGGTGTCTCATAGTTAATGCACTTAAGTCCATCGTATGTTTCAGGTTCAAGGCTATGGACAAAGGAAATAATCCTTATCAGGCAGTGCACATTGCCTTCTGAGCTAATTTACTAGCAATACAGCTACAGTATAAAGCACTGTCAGTTATATTTTATTAGAACATAGAGGGGTGACTGCAGTTTCTCACTGCAGTCTTAATTTTGTATTGTTGACCCCACTTGGCCATTAATGGATGACTCTTTCATGCTAAGATGGTACTCTAGCATTTTGTACATGCAACATTTCATTTTCTGTCACAGCAAAGAGATCCAAGAGAGATGAGTAGGTCTGGGTCTCCTACTTCCTTGCAGTGCCGTTTAACAAAATCATTGCTTAAATGATCAGTAATCCAAGAACCAACGTTTTTTAAGAATGAACTAAATTATGAAAACATCAGGGTTGCCGAATGGTAACACTGGAATATATGAGAAAAAACAGTAACCAACCATATAGTTACTGGTCTACATTCAGTTGGAAGCTCCATTGGACCCCAAAAATATGTAGAGCTTTAGGAAAATATGGCACTTTTAATTTGTTACTTTATTTCTGGAGACTTCCTCTAGGCATATATTATTGCATGCAGAAGAAAGAGGAGAAGAAGAATTATCTATGGCAGCCATTGGCCCTGCTAACCCAGCTTTCCAGTTATCAGTTTTGTGACATGCATGGAGTAAAGTAGGGGTTTTGAAACCTTTTCAAGCTATGGAAACCACTGGTTAAAAAAAAAAATTGGAACCCATGATCAAGATACAAAGCTCTAGTGATAAAAATGGGCTGAGTTCCAGTGAATGTTTTCCCCCCTTAGTTTCGTCAGAACCCATAAAGTTCTCAGAAGACTCTAGGCTTCCATGGAATAGATTTTGAAAAATCCTGGCACAGAGTATTTTCTGAAAAGTTTATCAAATGTGTAACAATAAACCAGTACAGTACTTGAATACAATGGAGTTTATTCCTAGATAATGGAATAAAGCTTCCTTAATAAAAGAGGACCTACTTAGAGACATGTATTTTCTAAGTCCATATCCTGCCATAACTGCATTTGCTTAGTTTCCTCTGCTCACTTTGGGATTTCCTTCACAGAACAGCAGGATAGCACACTGCACAGCACTCATTTGTGACCCTTATTTTAAAAATCACTACTCAAAATTAAAGTACTGGCAAACTTATTCTAACCCCATAGAGGAATAGAAGGCCCTGTGGCAAGCCAGATGTTTAGTACAGGAATAATACATTCCAGTGTTCATACACTTCTGTTATTGTTCAGATGTCAGTATATTGTCTCAGTTGACCTCAATCTATCCATTTATCTATTCATTAAATGAACTCCATTTATTCATCAGTTTATGTGGTAAATTATTTGGAGACTATATATAACAAATAGGATAAAAACCTCTTCTGTTGTTTGTTGCTTTCTTCATGTGATTAGGCTTGTATTAGATATAGTGTGTGTTTTGTTCTGCTTCCCAATTTTAAACAGCCATCTAAAATATATTTAATGAGAATTTTCTTCTTTTGTTTTCAAAAATACTTTCTCCTGCCAACAATTCATCTTCCCCACCCCCAAAAACTCCACATTTCCAAGAGAGATTCCTTCAGATGAAATGCTGTTAATATCAGAATTCTAGAATAAGCCTAAAATGCATTGCTTCATCCTTGAATAAGAGTGTTATTGATTAAATTACAGAGGAATGGAGAGCAGTCCACTTGACATTTCTCTGAATTGTGAAGAATATGTTGATACTCCAAATAACCTAAGTCAGTCCTTTTAGGATTAATAAGCACATCAGAGACACCACTTCATACATCTGTGCATGGTGTTTTATTTTAAGCCTTGCTTGGACCCAGGAATTCTGTGGAAAATACTCATAGGTATTTTATTTTCTAGCTGTACTATTGGACCTTGCAGTTTTATTATTTTACCAGGCTGTCCTCAAAAATGTACAGCTGTACTCAATGTGCCCACTGTGTACATGACACTAATATTTGTTTGTTTGTTGTCTTTATGCCATTGTTCTGCTATTCTGAACAGGTACAGTGTTATTTCTTTTAATGTGGAATATGCTCACATCCAGAAACATCAGGAAGTGATGAATTACAAACCTCTTTTTAATTTTTTGTTCTATTTACAGGTAGTCCCCGGGTTAAAAACACCTGGTTTACAGATGACCCATAGTTAAGAACGGAACCTATTGTAACAAAATTAAATACACAATGGTTTGAGTTAATTACACAATACTACTTATGCAGTGTTATGCAATAATACTGTTCTAGCTTACATAAAAATTGGACTTAAGGCCAAACCTTGGGAACAGAACTTGTTCTTAAACTGGGGATTACCTGTACTTGATTATATTCTATTCCCTGGGATATTAAATTGACCTAGATTGTTCAAATCTAGTAAAAATGGACACTGTCCAGATGAAGCTGCATCTGAGAATCGTTAGAATTAATAGAAGTAATTAAACTGTACATTTTACAGTTAATGACGGAATACAGTGCATGAGATTCATGTGGTAGACTATGGTATTAAAAAGAAATGTGATGGTTCCAAATAATTACTGTCATGGAAATGTTTTTTGGATAATGCCAACATGTTTAAAGTAAATTTGGTATGAAATATGTAATAAATTTCCATGGCATTGAGGCATGCTGCATTAAGAATGCCATGACCAGCATTTTTCAAGGTAAATGATTTTCAACCAAAGAAAAAGTAAATAAAGCAATTTTATAGCTAGTAGTTATTTTGCAGCAAGTTGCTTATATATTTCACTCCAAGTCTTGCATGTACTCTGATATATATGTAGCCTTCCCCATTAGTTTCAATAGGGAAAGAGCTATGGATGCAAGTGTATGTGGACACAAATCAGCATTTATTTAAACAAATGGAAAAGTCCTACAGGGGAGGGAGCTTTATGGAAAGCACATAGTTGTACTGACTGTGTTATCTTCATATATCCCTGCCTTGAATAAATTATGATAAATGATAACTCCTTTTCCTGATTTTGGGATAATTTGATGCAGAATATCTTAAGTTGCCTAAATGTAAATATAAGTCTGACTTTTGTTTCTCGTTATTGACTATTGTACTTTGCTTCTTCCTTCTAGAGTGTTATACTTATTCCTTTTAGACAGAAGATTTAATTCAGGCCTGAAAAGTCATTCTGTCTCTCCAGAGTCCAATTCAACAGCATAAAGTACCAAGATGAGATCATGCAATTGTATAACTTTGCTAATAAGGGGAGGGACAGAGAAATAGATAATTGCATAATAGTCATGTGGAATAATGCACAAACATTATTTAAACATATTTTTAAACTCCAGGAACAATTCTCTCAGTAAGAAGAAATTGCAGTTGTGAAAGTCAAAATTGGCCAGATTTTAATGTGGACCTTACCTTTTTTTTTTTCCCCCCTCTGGGATATTGATTACTTTTTCTGCTCAATAAAAAGTCTTGCCTTTCTTCTTCTTTTCCTTCTCCTTCTCACCTCTTCAATTATACAAACCATTTTATATATGCGAGGAACATTTCAACCAAAAATGTTTCTACCGTTGATCTTTAAAATGTTTCTAATATTGGTTTTATGTTTGAATAAACCACCCTGAGTCTGAGTCTCTAGTAAGTGGGATAAAGTATCGTTGGAGCAGATGTCTCCATTTAGCTGCTTTAGTGAAAACATTTATTATTTCTAAACATTTATTATTTCTGAGAAATCTCAACATTCCCATTTCTAAGCAGTGGGAAATGAAACCAGGGTAAGTTGTATAATCTACATTAAACCACTGTAGCAAATTAAATGATGAGGTGAACTAAGAGTTGTAGGATCTGATGGAGTCAAGGTAGTGAGTTTATTCCACTTTTAATGCATAAAAGTCACCTGCACAGGTATCTGTTATTGAGTTTGTGATTCTGCATATGTATGTGGGATGCGGGCAGAGAGATTTTCATTGTATCATGTTTCTCGGCTATGGAATAGCTGGTAGTAATCTATCCATTCTCCTAAACAAATTACCCTTTTTGCTCCCCTGCCCTCTTGAACCTCTATTCCTTTAACCCTAGTACTTTCAACCAGCAATACAGCTAACTTGAAGAAGAAGGTATCATGATGAGAGGGGAAAGTATGTTCCATGAGGGAAAAGAGTATAGTTCTATCCTTTCCAAGAAGTTCTACTCTTACTTGTGGGGTTTGTCAAGAGGAACACACCCACTCACTTTGATCTAGTGGAGCAAAAAGTACATATATTCTGTCTTGAGGTATATAGCCAGGATTTTCTGAATGAGAAAAGACATTATCTCTCTGAAGATGGTTTTCTATAATAGTAATAGCCAAAAAGAGAGAGTTCAAATAATAAAATTGGTAATCTTATCTCCCACTTGGCAGAGTGGGAAAGGTCATCCTACCTAAAGACTTGTCTAAAATTGAACAAGCCTATATGAACTCAGAGAAGACAGCTGTATTTTAAAGCAAAGTAAGGAAAGTTCATAGTTCTGAATTATAACACGAGTGTGAAAGACTATGTCTCTACCTTTGTATGGTTCAACTTCACTTTCAATACTTGTAATATGAAAACATGTTTTGCACAATGCCATCTAGATGTTCAAATTATCTGCTTTCTCTGCACTCTTTGTTCTTCATTTGTATTATTTTAGGCTGAACTGCTGGAGTCTACTGTCATTTTTGAATTGGCTTTCAGATACAATCAGTAGCTATACATATTACAGGCTGGAATGATCTGCTATACAAAAATGTATAGCCAAAATAAGTGGTTTCATTCAATTTTATAGGCTTTTCTTTTCCATTCTTTTCTTTTCTGAAAATTCTACAATTGGGAAATCTTTGATTTAAAGAAAAACTCAAAGCTCCTATAAATTCATTAATTCTGAAAGGCATAGACTTTTAACACTAATGATATATTGGGTGGATGCACACATCATGTTAAGCTCTTACGTAGTTTGTTTAATCTTGGGTTAGGGTGCTGTATAAAATCCCAGCCAATTGTGTTCCACTCCCCACCCCAGTAGCTCTATTCCATAGCTCAATCCACTGTATTTATTCTTAAGAAATATTCTTCTATGTTGTAATTACTTGTATGCATGCCCAATTTTATTTGGAATTTTTGTCCAGTTCCTCCTTAACTGAAAGGTCCAGAGAAGCTAAGGACCACAAGAGATTTTTTTTTTAAATAATTAAACAGATTTGTATTTGGAAAAGTAGGAAATTAAACTCAATATGAACTGGTGATTTACATAAAAAAACAAACCAGTTGAAAACTCTTAAAATGCCCAAATATATTGGGTTTACTTCTGGTTCAAGATTTGGGTTTTGCAGTTTCAAAGAAGCTTTGCAAGAGGCTAGCCAGAATTAAATATTTAAAATGTAAAGGCTAATCTAATTTTACTAGTACCTCCTCCAATTTCAGTGACACTTCTGTCCTGCAGAAGAATAGGATTGGGCCCCCAAGAGGTACCCACCTATGCAAATCCATTTATCCTTTCCTTTAACCAAAGAGGTTTCTTTATACTAAAATGTGTTATATAATTATATAAAACACATATATGATAATAGCATATTAATAGAAAGCCTTTTTACATGGACTTGTTAAGGCTGCTTGGGTAACAGAAGGCTATGTATATCATGCATTAGTCAAGTCTTTCATTATTTATTCAGGTTGACTAAGTGAAACTACATCCCAGCATTTTCTGTACTGCCTCTTTAACCTACTAAAATGATTGATCCATGTTCACTTATGTAACTGTAGAATCTTTCTCCAGCTAGGTTTTCCTGTTGTCTGTTTCTCTCTATCCAATGTTGTGCAGTTCTTATTCTCCCTGTGTTTAACATCTGTTAACTAATTTAATCTTCGCCTAATAGTCAATTTGTGTTAATCTTCTTTTTTTTTTCCTTGCACTTTTTTTTTCATTTTTCTTCCGATGCTTGAAATAGAAGTGGAGCAAAAAGGTAAATAACGTATATAGTCCAAACCCCTCAGCTCCTTGTTATGTGCCTTATGGATGTTAACCTCCTCCCCTTACCCCTCCCCACAACACTCTGAAATTATAATAATCAGCAGGATCTCATAAGTATCCCTCCTAAAGAAGTTGATTTTGCAACTTTGCAATAAACTGACTTGGCTGCTAAACTGACTCTGCTATTTAAAAGCAGGTGGTGGGATTTAGTGTCTGATGCACCTGCTCTGGGATGAAGACTCCCGTTGCTTTCTTCCTCCCTTTCTTTCTCTTTCCCTGTCTTTCTCTCACCCATGACTACTACTTGTTAATAAAAATGTCATCTTGCTTGGCTTCCAGAACCCTCTCCATAGCATGCCATAATTACAGGGTTCCTGGTCTGTTCCATCCATTGCTTTGGTTGCTCTTTATTTTTGTTGCTCTTGATGAAGGTCTATGGATATGATGTTTTAATTTTAATTTTTCCCCCTTGTATGTCAAAGCAGCTTTATTTTCAGTCTGAGGGTTTCTTAATGTTTCTTGAAAATTTAAGAGTTAAAGAAATCACCAATCAGTTGAACTGCTGCACATCAGTTAAAAGGTCTGGAGTGTAAATGCTGTTATGCAAGGGTAGTTCTATTTTTCCAGATTTAGTAATATGTCATAGAACCTTGGTTTGTTGTTAGGGAAAAGACTGCACATAGTGGTTACTATTGTAACTTTAAGAACCATGACAAAGTATAATACATGCATTAATTACATATGAACTATAGGCATTGTTATTAGTTAAAGGATCTTTTTTTTCTTTAAAGTCATACAGACATAGAGTGTTTGCCTAGACTTTATTGATTTTGTGAATTTTATTTATTTTTTAATCCATCTTGTCTTGCTTCTCTCTGTGACTGCCAGTTTTTGTTTGCCCTGGGACGTTGAAAGCTGTGGTGGATTCCCCAAATTTATATGAAGCTGAGCAAAAGGCAGGTGCTTGGTGCAAAGATCCTCTTCAGGCTGCAGATAAAATATACTTCATGCCATGGACTCCATACCGCACTGATACTTTGATAGAATATGCATCTTTAGAGGACTTCCAAAATGGACGCCAACAGACAACATATAAGCTTCCAAATCGAGTGGATGGTACTGGATTTGTGGTGTATGATGGTGCGGTCTTTTTTAATAAGGAAAGAACCAGAAACATTGTGAAATTTGACTTAAGAACTAGAATTAAGAGTGGAGAGGCTATTATAAATTCTGCCAACTACCATGACACGTCCCCTTACAGATGGGGGGGAAAGACTGATATTGATCTGGCAGTGGATGAAAATGGCTTGTGGGTAATTTATGCTACAGAACAAAACAATGGAATGATAGTTATTAGCCAACTCAATCCATATACTCTGCGTTTTGAAGCAACATGGGAAACAACATATGACAAACGGGCAGCCTCTAATGCTTTTATGATATGTGGGGTGCTTTACGTTGTGCGATCAGTTTACCAAGACAATGAAAGCGAAACTGGTAAAAACTCAATTGATTATATTTACAACACCAGGTTAAGCAGAGGAGAATATGTAGACATTCCTTTTCCCAACATGTATCATTATATTGCTGCTGTGGATTACAATCCAAGAGACAATCAGCTGTATGTATGGAACAACAATTTCATCCTACGATATTCTCTGGAGTTTGGTCCACCTGATCCTGCCCAAGGTAGGAATTCCCTTTTAATTATTTAAAGTACCTGCTTACTGAAATGAGATTCTGGGGTATTTAGAATTAGCAATGAGTGTCCTGCTCTGCAAAAACAAAACAAACAAAAGGAGAATTTTGATTTAAATTTTACCTATGCTAGAGCAAAATAAGGACAAGCGTTACCTCAATACAGAAAACTCTATTCCTGATACTCCATCTATTTGTAATGAGAAATATGTTAGCATTGGTGTTTTTCTCTCACTTCAGAATGAAATATATAGAAACCATGTTAATTATTTTGTGCTAGCACGAGAACAATATATGATTGAAAATCATCTTGTAGAGACTGGGTTTTTTGTTGCTTTTTTCCTTTGGCATGGATATTGTGAAGTTTTTCATTTCAGTTTCCATTTGAGCTCCAAGGAATGTTATTTAATATTTTTCTAGCAAGTTATTGCGTACTCAGATTTCCAATTATGTGGCAAATTCAGAATAGAATAAGTATAGGAACCTAAAAGATAGTATCATTATATAAACTGCCAGTGAGCAGACATTTAGGAAGTTTCATCACTGAAGAAATGTCTCCAATATACTGTGGTTCACATATAGATATTAAATACTAAGAATGTTGTATTAGATAAAAAAAAATTGGCAAGGGAATGCAGGAAAAATATTTTGTTACAGTCTGCTGAAACCTACTCAGCTTAGAATATATGTTATGCACAGAGAGACGTTTGTGGACGTTGCTGTTTTTGTTGTTGTTGTTGTTTTATTCTATATCTTATTAGACATTCCTCTTCAGCTGTTGATGGACTTTGATTTTATCATTTCTGTTATGTAGAACTGATTGCATGGTATAAATGTAAAAGAACTATATGGTCAGACGTACTATAAAGTAAGATATGGCTATATACTAAAGTTGTAGAAGTACTATATACATATGAAAATGCTACTAATATGTATCTTCATTTCTGAATAGATAACAGCTCATCCTGAGTAGTAAGATCAATGTCATCAGTTGGGGGGGGAAAAAAGAGAGTAATTGGTATAGCCTTTAGCTTAATTTTAGTAGAGGTTCTAAGAATTTGAAAAGTAATCTCTTGTACCACTATTTATTTAAACATACAGGAGAATGTTTAAAGGCTACTCTTCGAAGCTTTTTTAAGGCAGAGAAGTAAAACTGTTATATATAAAAAAGGGAAAGTGGAATATTTTCTATTTTACCAGTACATGTTTAAAACATTTCATTTAGATTACTTCTCATGCTAATTTCTTAAATGGATTATAATAAATTTTCTATTTAAATGACTAACTTTAAACTTGATACTGTTTAAACCCCAAAACACACTCATACAGAAAAACCTATTCTGCTGAAAACAATGAACACACATTTTGAAGGAAAGCAGCAAAAATTGTCTGGACTGATTCACCAAGCAGTGGATTTTGTCCGGTGACTGGAGCAGCATCCATTCCTTTGACAAATTTAGACAAACTTGGATCCAACAGATTTTATGCCTTAAATCCAACATCTGTTAAACCAAGTGTTGAGGGTTTACTATAATCTAGAATTTCTAAAAACAATGAATATAATAAAATAACAATAAGGAAATACTCATGCAAGCATATTTTTCAAGTGAGGGGTTTAAATAATCCCATGCTTTATTTCATTGTCCTGTATGTAGGAATAATCTGTTATATGTTCACAATAAACATGCAGCAGCCACTTGATGTGGGTAAGCAGAAAAGAATTACAATTTATACTTATTTTTAAAAGCATAAAGTATATAAATAGTTAATTACTCTTCTCAATCCAAATGATCTTGAAAATGTTGCAGAAGGTTTATTTAAAAAATACTGGATTGGACCCAAAATTAGTATTAGTTTCATTAAATCCATTAAAGTTAGTAAGACAAATTGATTTTAGTGAGTCTGTTCTAAATATGACTAAATCTGGGTCTGATCCAATGAAGTAAACAAATACAGCTCATTCTTTGATATCAGTTTTCAAAAATGGACATTCAGGGACAAAGAAAATCAGTCAAAAAAAAATTTTTTTTTAAATAATGATTAAAGTTTATGCATACTGCTCAGAGTTAAAGCAGATATAAGCTAGTGTTTCTGCACTTTTCTGCTTTTAGAAAGGAAATTGTCCTAATATCAGACTCCTAATGATGTCACAGGGTCAGAGTCTCCATAGCAGAAGCCATGGCCTGTCCTTCTGGAATGTCTAATTTGGACCATTATGAAGAATTCAACAATCTTTCCCACTCTACTTGTGATGAGTGCAGTAATGATATGTTCACAGACTCAACCAGCCCTGTCTTTCATCTTGTAGCCTGTCAGTACCTGTCTGTACCATAGCTTCCTTCTTCAAAATATTTCAAATACTGTATTTGCCCTCTTTTTACTAAATAGAATTATTTATCTCTCCCACTCTACCTTAGCCCCCCATAGCTAAATATCATACTTAACCTCATCCATGTCAATTTCCCCCCCTAAGGTACAAGAAGAGATATTCCTCATGTTACTCCTCTATATTATACTGTAATATCTGTAGCAGTGCCAGAAATTATTTATAGACTGGTTCCATAAAATGCTTAGTTTTTATTCCTGCAGCATTAAGACCACAGCTTAATCATTCTTCCAGGCCCCATGCAAAATTAACTTCATGGAATATGAGGCGTTGTTGCCAAACTAATTCTTTTCGGGTCTAAGGTATTTCTAAGTCATTTTGAAGTTCAGTATCTCACATAACACTCAGAGGACTAGTGCAGCCCTTGACCCAGGCAATAAGGCACACTCCTAAACTAAATTAGGAGTGATTTAGTTTTAATTTCTTTTATTACATTTCTTTTTCACATTTCCTCCAATAGCTCACAATTGCATATGTGGTATTGTCTCCTTCTCCCACTGTATCTCAAGAGCTCAACCTAGTGAGATAGGCTAGGTTGACCTAAAGCTATTCAATGAAGTAAATGAAAGAATAGGAATCTGAACCTGAGTTTTCTAATTTCTAGAGTGGCAATAGTAGTAGCTGAGCAGTTGTAGATCTTACTACTACTTCTACTGTTATAACTGCTATTGCTGTTTACTATTTTTACTGTTGTTTTGCTTTGATATGCTGACCTATACTGCATTTGAGCACCTCTTTAAAAAAGTAACAAATTGAGAAGGTCTAATTTCCTTTGCATCTAAAACTGAAGAATCCATTAAACAATTATATTTGATTATTTTTTTAATTTAGTGGAATACGTTTTAAAAATTTACTGTTATATTTGTGTTATATAACAGGAAAACCATTTTCTGACTTTATAGGCAGCTATTTGATATGCTTGTCAGTATTTCAAAATCCAAGATTAAAAAACGGGTTAGCACTATCTTGTCATATTTTCTATGAATGAAGTCCCACAGTATTATAGGGCCTATTTCTGTCCTAAGTATGTTTAGGTTTATTCCCTTTGACTCTGAGGCCTTTTTTTCTTAATAACTCCCTGAATTGATCTCTTGTTGATATTCATGCATTCAAGTGCTTTCTGGCACTTTCAGACGCATGAAACCAGGGTATATAACCAGACAAATGGCAGAACATTTAGACAATATCAGCAGTCTGAGAAGATGCAATTTTCCCCAACCTATTTGCATGAATTGCTGTAGATATGTCTTTTGTTTCAACATGAGAAACTTCTCTCTCTTTTCCTCCTTAAATAACAGAGCTGTTGTGTGCAATTATTCACTGCCAACACCATGCAGATGGGAATCTTATAATCAAAATGGGTTTGGTCTTCTTTCCAACATACTACATAGCTACAAAGCAGCTGAGAAACAGTTACAAAATTTCTGTGCAGTTATCCCAAATGCAAAAAAACAACTTTTAACTAGAATGGGTGTCTGTTATACTCAGAGTTGCTGAATTGATTGATATCTTAAAATGTAGATATTGCTAATTATTTTCTGCCAAATACATATTCTCCTGCAACCTTCCTTAATTTCTGTTTTTGCCAAATCTGTTTGGATGCTTGTGGTGCCACCTTTAGGGAAGGAAGTGTAGATCTCCTCCATTCTGGTAAACAAAAATCTGAATTTGATTTTTCCACAGTGCCATTTATCATTCTAAGCACTTAGCTTTAGTTTTGGAATTTTAAATAGTTCCACAGCATAGGTAGCACTAATACTAAAATTGTGCAGATCATTTTTCAGACAAAGCAGATGTATTTCGGAATTCATTTTTAATAGCCACACTGGTGGCAATGGTATCTGTCTTTGCAAATGAACAGCTGCACATAAAGTGCTGAATGAAATTATATGCTCTTGTGATTCTAACCTCCTAGCTGGACTCAGAAAAGAGTCATCGTGATCCCTTTTAGTGATGTTAAGCTGTAGGGCACAAGGGTAGCTTAAATGAGATAGAAGCTGTCAGAAGTAAGAGATCTGTGAGAGTATTAATTGCACTATTGTTGATACAGATTTCTGTCATGGAGAATGACTTAATTAAACACATGGTGTCTAGAATATCAGTAATAAGGAAAACCTCCCCCAGATTCTTTCTATAGTGCCCTAAGATCTGAATCAGTAGTGGCTTCTTGACACTTTCCCAAGCATTTGTGATGCTTTTGACAACATTAATTGAGAAAGCATTGGAAGCCTGGCTGCATTGTAATCAAAAGAAAATTACAGAGATTTCACAAGATGCCAGGCAAGTGCTTACAGAGAAGATAGACAGGTTTGAGAAGTCTTTTTCCTTTTTTCTTTTTCAGCAGGTAGGCTGAATAGAAAGTTCAGCAAGATTGCACAGGCAGCACTCTTATCAGACTAGCAATGAAACGCGGCACTCCAGAAGTTTTTTTTGTTGGGGATGGAAAATGAGAATCAGAAAACCATGATTTTTAGAAAGAGTTCTTGAGAGTCCTCAGTTAGAAACAAGGAAATGGCTAGGTAGACAGACAGAAATGTGTGCATTCTATTCTATATAAAAACTATATAGAATGTAAAGGAGACAGGTAGGAAGACGTAAGCATATGTAGAAGCCATTCATGCATTAATCTTACAGAAGTCTGGTCAGAGGTCTTCAACAGGCACTGAATGTTTGTAATACTAGGCACCTTATGAACTTCAGGGGAGATTTACAACCATAGTAAAAAAGCATGATTTTATAATTTATATAATGTCTTCAATAAACTTGGAGTGAAACAAATGAAACGCACAAACAACTCAGGCTATCTTAAACATTCCTTTGCTTGCAGAGAATGTGGGATGCGTTCAGCTTTCACCATTACAGGAATTCAGAAAAAAATATTTTTTGGGGGGTGCAAATTCTTGTCTGCATTTTCACAGAACTAGAAGCTCCTCATCTTTTTCTTTCTCTTCCCCTTCTCCCTACCCCCACAAGAAAGAAAGAAGCATTCTTTTCAGGTTCTTTGAAAAACAGACGTCTGCCTATCTCCTTGTTTGCATTTGTGGTTAAATTCAATTTACATTCAAGAATATATGTTTTTAGAAGTTATAGCCTAAGGGTAGAAGAGGTTTAAATCCTTTTTTAAAAAAGCATAAGCCTTTAGGAAATAAGTGTCAAAGAAAAAAAATTAAACCTGAAAAGTGTCAAATCCAGTTGTTTCCAGAAGGCCTGACATTGTAGGGAGTGAATCCTTGTCACAGTTTGTAAATTCCTCCAGGCAGGGACCTGTCTCTTCTTTGTTTGGAAAAGTGGTGAGCACACCAGTGGAGATACAGGTATTAAAAAAAACAAAAAACAGAAGCGAAGTTCTGAGTTGTGTTGCTCCACCAGCTAATAATTCTTTGAATATCGCAATAGCTGGAGGCAGGTTAATACTCTGATGTGCAGATGGACTTGCTAATTCTATCTTTTGGGGAGGTATATTAAAATGCCATTTTTTAAAATTTGGATATATCTTTTGATGACTGGCTGCTTGTTTCTTTTTCTTCTCTGTAGCTTTCCAGGAAATTGTTATTTACAATTCTGATCATCTTTTATAAGCCATGATGGATCTAATCAGATCTCCTTTCCTGAAAACCAGATGATATCCTTAGTTTCATGTAGGAAATCCCATGGTTCACCCCTCTTCCCACACTGAATGATAATGATTTAAGGGAGAGAAACTTTCAGTTTCATGGGTTCCTTTTCAGGTTTTCCAAGCCTCTGTGCAAAAAGCAAAGCTGCAGAATGCCTACCGTACACATATCTGTTGAGTGAGATCATTTGGGGAGTGGACGCTCATTAATACAACAAACATTCCCCTCTCTCTTCCTTTTACATCTTATTCAGAGGAGCCAATGGGATCAGTAATGGGACAGGATAAGATTTCATTCCCATCAAGATAACTTGCTAAACCAGGGATCTCAAAGTTTTCTCTGCTGTTTGGCACATTTAGAATTCTGAAAGCATGTTCTGAGAAGTCTCGCAAAAAGGTTACTACCACGAGTGTGGCCAGTTACAAAACATTCTTTTACCAGAATGCAAACTGGTAAGATTGTTTCCAGTATGCTGTCTACCACCTCATATTCGCTTTGTCGATCTTTCTGGAAGGTGTGCGCTGTTTTGAATAAAACAATGGGCTACAGTTGCCTATCATTATATGGGACCCAGGGGCATTGCTGAAAATATTATGTTTTATTTTTAAATACCTGGCTTCCCAGGTATTTATTTATTTTAAAATATTTCATCACATCTTTTAAAAATGGAACTGGTGGGCCCATTGCTCCCACAGGCATATCAAAGAAGTCTACCTTACTGGCAGGGGGGTTGTCCCCCCCCATCTTTAAAGCCACACATTCAAATCCTGGTTACATGGTTATAAAGTCAAGCAGTGTTTTTAAAGCCATTTTGTTGTAATGTTTAAGGTTTTGGACAAATAGTGGGTTCAAATCCCTTTCAGCAATCTATCTTGAGAGGATTGATGTTATGGGGGTAAAATGAAGAGAGAAGATCCCATGTAAGCCTCCTAGATGGAAAGGCAGGATTACCAATCTAACAAATGTTGCTATCAGTCACCTCAGACAGTACATTGCCTAGTACTTTTTTTTTTCAGGCATGTTCCTGTTTTCCACTTGATATCTAGTGAAATAATCATTTTGGGATTTAGCATCTGAACCTTTAAAAAAAAAATTGCAGTAGCAAATTTTTTCTATTTTTTTTCTAGTTAATTGTTAATTTTCATTGTTTTTAACTATAGGTATTATACTATTTATTATTTTATTTTATAACTTACACTGTAAACCATAAACATATTAGTATATCAAATTATAAAATAAGTCAATATATATGTAAATACTGTGTAATAGTTTAACATAGCAACATTTTCTGGAATGTATCACAACAGAGCAGGTACATTCCAGGCATAGCAATATATTATTTTAGCAATATACGAGCTGCATCTAATTGTGCTATATTAAATTGAACTGATACTCTAGATCTCCTACCACAAATTATTTAACTCATTAGTTAGATCTTTGAAGTGCTCATGTTATTAAAGAGAATATGTTTTCCAATTATTCATTTAAAAGTTAGTGATAATTCAAAGCTACTTTAATGAATATAGAGATCAAATGTAATAACTATTCTGAGTAAATAATACTGAGGAAAAAGAGAACTACATTGCCAACTTAAACTCTTAATAAAATAGATTAAGTCAATTATGCAAGATGGCATTTTGGTGAAATTTATTTCTATTTGGAAAATAGTGTGCTAAATTTAAAAATCTAACCTGGGAATTTGTTTTCCTGATAATCTTGAAAATGACTGACAATGCTTCATTTTGTTGTTATTGTGAACTGTCTATCAAACCTGTCCATTTTTTCGTGGAGAGTTTGCACTGACTACAGTGTTTCTCTACAGACCTTGATTCAGGAAATAAATCAACTAGAACTAGATTCTAAATCTCTATTGCTATTCAGAAATTGAAATGTCTGTGTCCTCATTGACTACCACTGGGAATCAATAAATTATTTTAGCCCCCCCCCCCCCCAGTTTGACAAAATTGGATTAAATTTGAAGGCAGAGTAGAGGATAAACTTGCACAAGTCAAGAGGTTTTGTTCTAGATAAATGATGATTTTTCTAAAAAATAAGGAATTGTTAAGGGTGTCCATGGAAGGGGACATAAGGGAGCAAGTAATGTCACAACACACATGATGTCATTGTAGTTTTGAACCTATGGGAATTGCCATTTTCTGGAAGAAGAGCAGCCTTGAAGTTTTCATGTTTCTTTTAAAGATGCACTTATTCCCCAGTTGTTATGTGCATCATTATAATTGTTATAAATGTCATATATAACTTATCATAATTGGAAAAAAAACTGTAGTAGAATGATAAAGACTTTTTTTTTTTTTTTTGGTGGAAAGAGAATTTCAGATTTAATGAGAGAGAGTTTTGCTGCCCTTTCTCTCTGCTCTGTGTTTGCTTGTTTGGTGATCTGCATGAAGAAGTAGAAATATTCAGGCATTTAGGTGTAAGGTCTAGGGAGTTATACTGAATCAACCTTAGTTTAAGGTATTTGTTAAATTAGCAGCAAAGACACAAATTCATTAGGATATATTTCAAGCAGCACCCTCCATCCCTACCTTTTTGCCTTCATATCTGAAATGTTGCTCAGATCTAGAAAATATAGCTGGCCCACATCCCTTCCATGGCTTTACTTTTGAAATGTGTAAGAGGTGTAAAACTCCCCACACAGTATAATATTTAATAGGAGTACCTCTTAACCATGTAAATAATAATAATAATAATAATATAATAATAATATCTCATTGTTTAATTTTTAAGTGTTGGCAGGTATTTACATCATTTACATAGATCCAAAATAGCTTGGATTCTGTAGAAAATAGCTTTGTACTTGGAATGGTTGCCCTGATTATTTATGTTAATGTTGATAAAATGAACATTTCTAGAAGTCAAAAGAGAAGTAACTTGTTGAAAACTAGTTGTCTGAACACAGATGATTCAGCAGTATAGTTGCCCTTGGCTTGAAGTAGTTCTTGTTTTATTAGAAAGGGAGGTTTATTACTTCTTGCTTTATTAGAAAGCAAGACATTAGTTCTTGCTTTATTAGAAAGGGATGTAGAAAGCGCTGTTTAAGGACTGAGATGCTGAAACACTGAGATAATACAAGCATGCAAGATTCTGGTCCCCCCCCCCCCAATTTAGATCTAATCAGGTGTGCTGGAAATCTCTCAAGCGAGAATGTCTGCCGGGTGGCAAGATGTTACAGTAATTATCTTCCTTCAAGTTGCAGAGTGGGTGATATGAAGTTGGGTGCTTTCTTTTTTGGGATATGTTTTGTTTTTCGTTTGTTTTTAAACATCCTGGTTATTTATAACCTGCTTTTCTGTTGTTGGGTTTGCTTGTTTATTTTTCCTTTTTTTCCAATGCAGGCATTGATTTTATCTCTTCAATCAATATAATTCTACCATCCTTTATTAAATGCATTTGTTATGAATAGATAATTTGCTACTAGTGCCTCCCAGGCTTTAGAAATATATCTATCAATTTGTACTCAGGAGATAGTAGATATGTTACTATACATTTTCAACTTATCATCTGGGAATCCTTTTTGAAGGAGAAGGAGAATGTTTGCAGATGAGTGTTTTCACAACTATTCTTATTTGTTCTTCCCCCATATAACATTGCTTTTCCCTTTACAGTGCCTACCACAGCAGAGACAATAACTCCATCCACAGAACTATACAAAACAACTGCATCAACTACAAGCACTACCCCACACAAAGTTCCTGTTAGCACGACTATGGCTGGGGGAACAAAAGAAGATAGTAGAGGCCCCAAGCCACCACCAGCAGTTTCTACAACCAAAATTCCTCCTGTTACAAGCTTTTTCCCTTTGCCTGAGAGATTCTGTGAGCCAGATGTGGCCCGGGGGATTAGTTGGCCTCAGACTCAAAGAGGAATAATGGTGGAACGTCCCTGCCCCAAAGGAACTCGTGGTAAGTCTTTAAAACCAGATTTTCAAATCAGATCAGATAAAGCAAGAACTCTTTTTCCTTGCTCCTTGACTACTCTCAAGCCATATTTCATTTGATCTTTCTTTCGTAGGAGGATATGGCACCTTCAGGTTTTAAGCTGTAGAGGGCATTGAAGCCTAGGAACATAATAATATTACAGTCCTTTTTCTAATGTTTCCAATTGTCAGCTTTAGCTGAAGTCCTGTCAGTTTCAAAACTTGCTTACTGCCATCTTTCCCATGAACTCCACTTTGGACAGTTCCAGGACAAAGAAGAAGACAGGAAACATTCATCTTTGTTGATTTACCAGAAACTCTGACGTTTTACCCTGATATTATTAGCACAGCTTTAGTTTGCTATTATTATCCTGTATTTTGTTACCTCATCCTCAACTAGCTTTTTTTAATCATTAGAAGTTTAATATATAAACACCAGTTAAACTTCAGTTCAATATTTTTTCAGGTTTAAGAAGATATATGGGAGATTGAAAAACAGAAAAAAAAGTTCACAACTAAATAACCACATTTTTGGTATCTTTTATAGGAACAGCTTCATACCTCTGCATGGTTTCCACAGGAACATGGAACCCTAAGGGTCCTGATCTTAGCAACTGTACTTCACACTGGGTAAATCAGCTGGCTCAGAAGGTGGGTTGGAATAATATATTAATATGATAGCATTTCTATTATGAGCATTTTTTAGTTATAGTCACAGCTGTTCATCACAGGTGATAGGAATAATGAGAATTGCATTATACTTAGGACAGACTATGGAGCCTAACTGGGGTTACCAGATCTGGGGTGCAAAAATACCACCAGCCACTAGATGGAAAGAAACAGGCTTTCTGAATGAAGTTGTGATTGTCTGAACTTTTGCAAACCAGATCTGATAGCATTAGGTCTACCCACCCTTATTCTTGCTTTTATAGGTGATGTATAAAGGGCATATTTAGTTGGACTGTCCATGGGTTTAATTGTCATGACATGAGCACCTGAAGAGACAAAAAGGAAAGTTCTTCAGATGCCTAGAAAAAGAATCAAGATAAACGTGCCTTACTTATTATTATATTGTAATCTGCCATTTTCCTGTTGCCCTTCATTATGGATAGGCAATACTTGAAGTCTCAGGATCTGCAATTCAGCCTTGCAATGTTCCAGAAGCTATGGGAGACCATCTTGTAATGTATGATGATACCAGAAGAGATGGGGAAAATGTGTTCTGCTCTTTTAGGGTTCTGGGCAAGAAAGAGAACAAGAAGTCTCTGTGAGGCAAAATCATTCCAGTCCCCATCCTTAAACCCCCATAAACCATCTCCATAGTCCAAAACCATACCACTGAATTTTGACATTTTGCCACTTAACCTGGACCTGATTTGTGGGAAGGAGAGTTGCAGCCTGCATGCCAAGATTTTCTCATGTCTTCCCTGTATACAAAGGCAGTCATCCTTACCTTCAGTCAAGTATATAAGAAGAAGAAGAGGCAATAGCTGTGGGATTGTTCACTGCTCAATTAAGCATTTCTCCCCGCAGAAGTCTGCCATACCTAGCTTCAAATTAATGGTACTACTTGCTTCTGCCTTGGCATTCTTCTTCACTTGAAGTTAGGATAGCTTTCTTGTCTGTGTTTATGTGATGGTAGGGAGTGCTTTTAGACTGCAGAGCACAGAAAGAGAGTATATTTGAAGGACTATTGATTTTATTTATTTCATAGCTTTTTCATAGTTTTTATATCCCACCCAGATCCTCAAATTCTGGTCCTGCAATAGAATAAAAATTCAGAAAAATAAAAATATATACAATTAACCAAAACCTTCAGGTGTCTACCAGAAATATTTGATCTAGTTAAAAGGACCTTTTTTAGACATTCAAATAGAAATATGACATATACGTTTTTGGAGCAAATACTGATTTTCATACAGTGTGATAATTTAGGTCACGTCTGAGAGTTAGAATATTTGCCAAGGGTTTAAAAGATATTTCCTGAACTTTGCTGAATAGTTTCAGTATCTACCCACAACAGCTGCCTTGTTTGATTACACTATTTTTTGTGCTCACAAGCAACCAGTAAAAACAGGAGGTACCTCAAACTCTTAATGGGAAGAATCTATAGGTAGTAGGCTGTTTTCTGTTTGATTGCTTAAGTTAGTTTGCCCTGGTCTGGATGGATGGATGGATGGATGGATGGATGGATGGATGGATGGATGGATGGATGGATACCTTGTTATTATAATTTCAATTGCCATTTCAGATCAGAAGTGGAGAAAATGCTGCTAACCTTGCCAATGAATTGGCTAAACACACCAAAGGACCAATCTTTGCTGGTGATGTGAGTTCATCAGTCAGACTGATGGAACAGTTGGTAGACATCCTTGATGCTCAGCTGCAAGATTTGAAGCCCAATGAGAAGGACTCTGCAGGGCGGAGTTATAACAAGGTAGATAAAGACCAAATCAGTTTTCTCAGGTGTATTCTAAAACATGTTTGTCTTGTGATTTGTTTATTTCCAGAAATGCCTAACGTCTGCTTGTTTTGCACCTGAAGTAGGGATGTTTAGGAATTTAGTAACAAATCTAGAGAGATGTGTGGATGTTGAAGCTATATCACATTGATACAAGCAACAAATTGCTTCACTTTAAAGTGTAAGAAGAGAACTTGCCCCTTTGTGCATTTTATTCATTTTACTTTTACAATATTGGGTGGGAGAAAGTTGTGAAGAAGAAATGCCTGTTTTGCTATAATCATTTTGATCTCTATCCCTTCCTAGAAATATTTGAATATACTAAGTAGTTGATTAACCCATAATTTATTAAAACATCCCCTCCCTTCATTAGGCTTCCCAAAAAGAGCACATTCATTGAGAATAATTAAACACACTATGATTATTATATCAGCAAAAAATATTTCTCAAGTTTACACTTAAGTGTTCAACAATCATTAAATAGTAGCATTTCTACTGCACTTTTTTGTGTCTAACCTCTGATTTTTTTTTCCTGACTTACTAACAAGCTCCAAAAGCGAGAGAAGACATGCAGGGCTTACCTTAAGGTATCTCTCCTGTCACCTTGCTTTCTCCCTGCTGCTACATTTCTGCTCTTGCTGCATGATCCTTTCTATTTCAGTCTTTCGATAATATGTATATTGTATCCCTCCACAGCACCTGTGCAGAGTGTTATGTTTGCACAGACTCCATTTCCAAGACTAAGCCAATAATAAAATAAGCCAATAATCAATAGTTCCTTTCCTTCCATGTTTTGTGTAAAAAGTACAAGGATGGTAATGGGTATTAAACTAAATCCAAGATAGCAGTTGGTTTGTTTCCTTACAGTATTTTGCTTTGAGCCCAAATGGTTTTATTTATGTAGTTCTGTATATCACAAACTGTTTAATTGTAGCAAAATCCACAGAGTGATGCCACTTCACATCCCCATTTGCCTCACTAGAACTTATGAAGCAAGAATGTCATATGAATTCCACCTTGTGTTTTTGCATAACAGCCCCCCTCCTTTTTTTTTTCTTTCTAGTATACCCTTTGATTCAAAACAATAGCTATTTGTGTGATTTCAGTGATACAGCTAAAGGTAGCTTTAATACTTGAATACACATAAACTGCAAGTTTTTCTGTAACAACTGCTGTTACTGGAAGATCATCCTGTTTTCTAGAGCTGTAAAATAATTCAGAACTTAAAATATCTGGCAAAGAACATTCTTGTTCATGCTGGTATCTACACATTATACCTCTGACTGATGGTACTTTTTGGGTGGAAAAACAGCATAGCACTTTTAATTTTAGAATTGCCAATTAGTATTAACAAAAAAATAATAAAAGTTTAAATTGAAGCTGCCCATAACAGAACAAAGGTGGTTTTTTTATGAAATTACTAAGTTATTACAATTGTAACCATCCAAATTGCTTAAGAATAATTATGCTGTTCAAGATTAATTCACTTTCTGCCCCATTTCCACTGAATCTATAAATCCATTACTCTCAGAAGGAACAGCTGAACATTATTAGTATTACATCTCCAGCAGTGCTAACTTTGTTTAGATCTACTCAGGTTAAATTGATGCAAGATCCTGGGGATAACAGAAAATCAGGTCCTGGATTAATGTGAATCTTAATCTTAATCATGGTTGTAGGCATGAATAAAGATAAAATGGGAACACAAGAAACATATGCATACAAGTGCCACTCCCAGCTGCTTCCAGTGCTGGAAGAAATACAGTTTTAGAGTTATTTGTACCTTTAGCATTTAAATTTGAAAGGAAATTAGTGCCTTCAACTGAAAGTACATTCTCATCATAGATAGGGGGATAAGATTTTAAATCTTAAACTAACAGAATGTGTTGTTATATTGGGAATAGACCTTGCTTGGGCATGTCCATATCTTATGGATAAGATATACATAAGTTATATCTTACATATAAGATTTATTTTATTTATTTATCATATTTATATTACATAGCTATAATTATGTATAAATTAAAGCTTGTATCGAACTATAATTGTTCATAATCATTAAAGCCAATAGTGATAGTTGTATTCCAAAAGAGATGGCTAGATTAGAGTAGATCCACCATCATATTGCTTAGTCATTGAGAAGCTACATCTTTGTAGGTCAGTGGCATCCTCTTTTTCTTGTTTTATATTCAATGTTGGTAAAACTTTTGGGAAAGATTGAAAATTGTTCAGTAACAACAAGACAAAGTCAAATGAAAGAAGGGGGAGTAAGTCACATCTTAAACAAGTTAAGCTGGGAACTATCTGGTCTAGTGGTTAAAGCACTGGACTAGGAGTGGGGAGACCTGAATTCTAGTCCTACCTTAGGTACAGAAATTAGCTGGGTGACAATTGCTTTCTCTCAGTCCTAGGGAGAAGGCAATGGTAAACCATTTCCAAAAAATGTTACCTGGAAAACTGCATGGACTTGTCCATGTAGTTTCCAGAAGTCCTGACTTACTCAAAGGAAAGGCATAAAAAATAAAAGGAGGGGAATGGGGAAGCTAAGCAAAAAGTACAGTTCATTTTAAAAGATAAATTTCATGGTAAAATGTAAAGTGTGACTGTATATGTAACTGCAGTGACTGTGAAATTGTAAGGCATCAATAATTTTCATTGATTTCTGTGAAAAAATTAATCTCATGATTAACTCCTCAGAAATCAAAAGGGTCTCAAAAATACTTAAGCTTATAACAGTTGTACTCTTATGAGTTATTTTGCCTCTTCCTCCCCCCCCCCTTTTGACAAGAGTAAGAGTTGTTATAGGGATGACTATTTTCATACCACTGGAGAAAAACAAGTCAGATGACATAAAAAATAAAGAATCAGGCAAAAGGGCTTAAAACACACATACACATACATAATTGACATAGCATGTATAGACAAAAAAGGCAAACTGCAGCACAACCTTAATTTCTGACTGGGATCATTTTTAGTAGGTCTCAAATGAGCTCGTCACTTTGGATAAGACTAACAAAATCTCTCAAAATTACAAATCAAAATCTAGCTGATGCTAAGCAAATAAAGCAAGTTCTCATTCCTCGATAGAGGATTCACTTGTAGTTCAGATGAGAGGCTCCAGTTCATAGTTCTTGGTGACTAATGAATCTAGCCTCCACAGACCAATTTCTGTGCCACTCTCTGTAATGGTTGAAGCGGTATCAGTGTGAGCAGTTGACTCTTCTGTTTCCCATTAGAGAAAAGAGGAAGAAAATCCTTTCATGTCACTCAAAACTATTTTCCACCTACCGTTGTGGAGGCTCACCATACAGACATAAAGAGGATATTAAAATGGATTAGGCGAATTCATTTTACTCCTGACAATAATCCATACTACTTTCCCTATCCATTCAGACACAGAGCATAACGTTCTGGATGTGACATTGTTTTGTTTATGTAGTGCAGTCTGTTTTCATTTCCATCGCTTTTGAAACTGATCAACCACATTATGTGTGTGTTTAATGATATATAACTAGGTAAATGAGACAAAGTAAGCATGATGTTTCAGCAATGCATAGCATTCTCAGTGCAGGCCTACATTATCCATTAATGTAAGAGCTTCCCTTCAACTGACTGTTTGGTGGGTGTGATTGTTTTGTTTATTTCGCCTCGTGAATGTACAAGGCTGCCATCAGATGCTCAGATCCTGGCTTAATCCACAGGAATCCACATTTGCTGCTGTTTCACTTTGCTCTTAATAGGAGTTATAAACAAACTAAAAAACCCTAACCTGACATACTTCCCATTACATGCAAATTAGGACTATAGACAGTGCTATCCAAGCAAGACAAATTTGAAGCCAATTTTAAACTATAGGCATAGCTACTGGGTAGCAGTTGACTAGAACTTCCTGACTTCTTCAAATTCTTTATAAAAAGATATATAAAGAATCTGAGAAAGTTACATTCATTCCTACTCTGCTTTGTTAAACCATGATTTGATCATCAGAGTTGAGTCGGTGTTTTCACTTTGGTTCCTGTATCTCACATTTAGTTTTATATTATTCTGTGATTGTTTATTTATTTGGTTGGGTGTTTAATTTATTTGTTGGATTTATATCCTGATTTTATCCACCAGAAGCTCAAGGTGTTATACATCGCATTCTTTCCTCAAGTTGTTTTTAAGACAACAATCCAGTGGGGTAGGTTGGATTGAGTGAGGGCGATTAGTTCAAAATCACCCATTAAGCTTCCAGGTTCAGGCTGAACTTGAACATGGATCTCCCCAGTTATAATCCCAACAACTTGGCCATATACCACACTGGCTGTCATGTGTTTCATACACATATAGCTACATTTGTGGGATAAGGCCAATACCTAACATTCTTCAGTGCTCAATGACTTGAAAAACTTCTGCAGATTCATGCATGCCTCAAAGCCCCGTGAAGCTTTAGATTTACACCTAGGTTTCCAAATTAAAGCCATGAGCATTTGCCTTTTTGCATTCTTCAGTATGTTAATAAGTTCTTTTTCATACTTGCTCTAAGGCATGTTATGCTGATCCTCTTTGTTCTAAAGCAAAGCAGTAGCTTTTTTGTCTTTAAATCACTGTAAATCACATTGGCAGTTAAATATTGCAATTGCCATCTGATCATCTTAGGAACTTTCTCTTGCTGCCTAAGGCAATAGAGCCTAATATTTTTCTAATGAATGCAGGCAATCGTTGACACCGTGGACAACCTCCTTAGGGCTGAAGCTCTAGAATCATGGAAAGATATGAATTCTTCTGAACAAGCTCATGCTGCAACAATGTTACTTGATACATTAGAAGAAGGAGCTTTTGTCTTGGCTGATAATCTTTTAGAACCAACAAGAGTTGCGATGCCTACAGATCACATTGGTAAGTTGTTGCATTTTGGAAAGCTAAGCATTCTGCTGTAGATTAGAGGAACAACATGCTAAAATAATGGTTTGGGAATAGTCATATATACCATGTTCAGTGGAAAGTATATTTGTCCAGGTAGTAATTCTACTATTCCTACTTTAAAATATAGGAATAGAAGAATTCTATATAAACCTCTGTAAAATTGATAAATTAGTTCATATTCATAACTCCTAAAATAGTTTTTTAAAAAGAACTAGATAATGTACATCTTATAAAGTAGATATACTATAGCAGCTAAGTCAGACATTTTTAAAGTTTTTCTTTACTGAAATCAGCATTACAGAAACTTAAGCAAATCATTTTTATCTTAACCTTATCCCATCCTGTGCAGTATGAAGATAATAGTACTGGCCTGTGATAGAGATTCTTATCAGGGCTGATTAAAAATTGTGTGTGTATCTATGTAAGTAATTGAGATGCTTGCTATGGAAATTCTTTTCCCATTTATTATAATTTCATACTGAATGTTACTCGTTTTGGGGGGACAATCAGGCCAATTTTGGCCACATAGAGTAAAGACTGTTTATATTAAATGCAACTATCCCAAGGTGAAAATATGTTCAGTGAGCTATATTGTCAAAATACAAATTCTGACAAGGAGGTAAAACAAATCTTTTTGAGACATGCAGGTATCTTTCTCCCACGTTTGTGCCTTACATGAACTTAAACAGCTTTCTGTGTAGACTTTAATCCTTAAGAATTCTTCCACTTTATAGATGTTAAGAAAGGTATTGAAGCAAGTGCTAGAGACCAAAGATCTAATTAATGACAGAAAAAAACTTGTTGCTTGGATTTATGAATGAAATTATCTATGTTTCTGCTGGTAAAGATGAAACGGTTTAGAGATATCTAGTGATGTACTTAGGAACTTGATGGTGCAGTCCTAAATATAGATCAAAGTTTCCTTTGTTAGATTCAGTAGAACGTTCTTTAGTTTATAGTCTATGTTTTATCAACAAATTTTCTCAGTATTGAATTCACTGAATTTATGTAGACAGTTCTATCTCCTTCCATGTTAAGTGAATTCAGCATTAAAAGGGATATAGCTATCCACATAAATTCTTTGAATTCCAAGACAGAGTTCATCATCTGTAGGATTTAACAGCAGTAATGACAGCAACAGCAGCTTTCCTGCATATTTATAAAGGGGAGCATTTCATCATTAGGGATGCTTGGCACAGTTATCTTAGATGAGAATGAAGCGCCCCAGATTCTGTTCCAATTAGCTGTTGCTTAACTAGTCAGGATGGTCATAAATTAGTCAGTTCAGCAGGTGCATGTAGAAACCTGAGGCAGCAAGAGACATGACTTCTATAATACTTTACTTATGCAGCAGTGGCTTTTGTCCAGCCTGGGAATCAGTACAGGGAAGTTTTCTCTGCATGCTAATTTCCCTTGCCTTGCTCGATCGAGATGATAGTGCAGTTATTTATACCCTCCTTTCTTCAGCGTCCGTGGTTGCAGTGCTTTCATCATTCAATTGCACCATTGCACCTTTGCAGCGCAAGCTCCGGAGTGTCCAGTATGACACTCAAGGATGGGTGGAGCTTGTGTTGGCACAAGGCTGCCTTCATAATTTGCCCACCCTTGACATGCACTCTCTCCCTTCCTCTCAGCGGGATGCCTCTGCTTGCTTGCTTCCCATTTAATTAGTGAAAATACTGAGGTATTAAATTCAGAACATTATGCTCTGTGTATATGTGTGAAGGAAAGAAAGAAATAATAAACCATGCATAGTTCAGTAAAATAGCCCTGCTAAATTTTTCAGAAGTCTCTGTGGGGGACATTGGTTGACCTCAATTAATAGCACATTTCATGTGGGTGTAGAAACCTTTATAATAAATTGTACCATTACTCTTGTCAGACTTTAGGTATGTTCCTTTTAGTCTTTTTTTAATTAAATGTTATCCTTCCTTTGTTTGAAGAAACTCAGAGTAATGTACATTGTTGTGCTTCCACATCTTTACAACAATCTTGTGAAGCAGCTTAGACCATGCAGTGTTATCTAGTGCATTGAGTGAGGATTTAAACAGGATGCTCCTTGTCTTTATCCAAGTTGCTTAACTACTACACTACAATATATATCTCTTACTAAGATACTTTTTTTTTTTCAACTGCTGGTAGAATGTATGTCATAAAAATCCATGCAACACAACTGCATTGGTCTCATGGTCACACATTTCTTCCAAGTAAAATACTCAGATTTTTAAAGTGATACATTTTAGGCTGACATCAAAACCAGGTTGGATGTCATGTTCTCTGAACTGTTCTTTTCATGGCATCTGCACTCAAGTCAATTGAAATTTAAAGAAAAAAGTATTCCATGAAGCTGAAACAATCAGTATACATCTGTCATGTATAAACAAAGACTATCAAATGCCCTCCAAAAGAAAGGCAAATTTGACCGTATATTTCTTTCTCCTTTCTTTTGCTCCACCCAGTCCTGGAAGTTGCAGTGCTCAGCACAGAAGGGCAAGTGCAGGACTTGAAATTTCCTCAGGGCAATGCAGGTGGCAACTCTATCCAGCTCTCTTCAAGTACTGTGAAACAGAACAGCAGAAATGGTATGTCTTGATCAAGTTGTTTTCAACACTGATATGGCCTCTTATCACTTCTCATACTAAGACCCCCTTGGCAGCATTAAAAATTACTCATCATTTGTACCTAAACCCTTTGGCTCCCATTTTTCCTTGGAATCCATTATTCTGCAGTATAGATATTGTGACTAGGAAACTAAGGTGGAAAGGCTGTTGAACTTGTGCACTTTCAAGTCAATATAATGGAAGGTTTCTGTTTTCAGGGTTAGCAAAGCTGGTTTTCATCATTTACAAAAGCTTGGGCCGGTTTCTTAGTACTGAAAATGCAACTATCAAACTAGGAACTGAGTTTGCTGGCAGGAATAGTACCATCGCTGTGAACTCTGATGTCATTGCTGCCTCCATCAACAAGGAGTCCAGTCGTGTCTATTTGACCGATCCCGTTCTTTTTACCCTGGCACACATTGATGTAAGTTATGGAAATGAATTAATGGGAAGGTCATAAAATCAGCAAGAGCAAAGAGTGGATGGGGGAATCTTTCTATTTGAATTTTAAATATCGGAAGGTCAGAGGCATAGGTTTATTTAAGTCTGCGAACATAAAATTAAATGAGCCTGGTTCAGTGATTATTAGAACTTAAGTGTATTCTTAATGAAAGCTAATTCAGTAATCAACATGAAAATGTAAATGCCTCTAATTTGTTCCTAAGTGAAAATTAACTCTTACCTTAGCAGCAGGGCAGAAAACACAGGCTCTTATAATTTTGCTTGCTTAATGTAGCAAAATTTAAATAGCACTTAGAGCATTTTGCTGTAATTCTGTACTATCTTCTGGAGCCCATTTACCAATCACTCAAGTAGGTTTTATTCAATAGAGCAAACTGGTGCTCTTTTCTTTGAATCAGATTGACACTGTTTTCAGCTGACTCCTGAAGGCTCTGCTGGTCATATCAATATGCTGTTGATTGTCCAGGTTGGGATTTTCCATTTACCTAAAGCAGTGGATTAGAAAAGCCTATAAAAAGAAAAGATCTATCCCTGTTCATTTTTCTGAGACGTTTTCAATGCAATTTAATCTGGGCCGAGAAGCTGACATGTCTCTTCTGCTCTTTTAGATCTGATTAAAATTGAGACTGTATTACTAAATGCTAAATTATTCAAGAAGTCTGTTTAAAATTAACCTGTTTAAAATAAAAATAAAATCAACTGCTACAAGTTGGAAATCAAACAGCCACAAGTGGACAATGTGAGCCCCACTTAAGTGGAGAATTTTAGTTGCATAAAATTAAATCTTAAGTAATGTCTGTGTTTTAGCATGCTTCTAACCAAATCACTGGTTTGTCCAATACAGTCTGCCTCTTTTTTTTATTTCTGGCACAAACCACATACCTTTTCTCCTGGGTCACCTTAATTTGCTATGGTACAAAGAGCTGTATTGGATTTAAATAAACTTACTTTAAGAAGCATTAGTATGCATACAATTCTAATTTCTTTTTAATCCTGATGTCTCACAGCCCAACAATTATTTCAATGCTAACTGCTCCTTCTGGAACTATTCAGAGCGGACTATGATGGGATATTGGTCAACTCAAGGCTGCAAGCTGATTGACACAAATAAAACACATACCACGTGTGCATGTAGCCACCTAACAAATTTTGCAATTCTCATGGCCCACAGGGGAATTGTGGTAAGTAATCCTGACAAATAATATATATTTTGAAGACCCAGTAAAACTGCTGATCTGTTGGACTACCCAGAGACAGCTCTGATCTTATTTACAGTATTCTGTAACCTTTGTATTTGAACCAGAGTTCAAAAGAAAGAAAGAAAGAAAGAAAGAAAGAAAGAAAGAAAGAAAGAAAGAAAGAAAGAAAGAAAGAAAGAAAGAAAGAAAGAAAGATATCCACACACATACGTGCACACACATACAGACACATAAACACACACAGTTGAACGTGACCTGTTTTGCTGTCTATGCCCACCAGGAACAAATCTGCATTATAATTTCAGTATATCTACAATAATCTACATTACTTGATTTTGCATGTAGTTCCTACCCATACAGAACCCTTTAACACTTGGAATAAAATTCTGGCTATTGAGCTTTAAATTGTTGGAGAAAGTATTATATAAATCACCCCCAGCCTGTTTATCATCAGAAGCTAGTCCTAAATTGGGAAGTTCGAAGCTAGTAAGAATTTGCAAAGAAGCTTTTGAAAATTTGTCTATCTACTTATTTGTTACATATCAGAGGGTAGGCCCTCCTGAACTAGGAAGTGTTGCAACTGGCACACCAGCCAAAGTTGGGCAAAGGCCCCTTTATCCACAACCTCCACCTGTTGTTCCAGTATGAGCCATGAAACCAGAAGTGCCCCCTGATCCCAAACCTGCTTCCTCATGTGTAGTGCCTGCCCATCAAGAGATAGTGCTGGGTATCGACAGAGAACACTGATATACAAACAGTAACTCTGTCTTACTTGGGTTCATCTTCAGTCTGATCTCTTTAATCCAGAGTATTATAGCCTCCAGGTATCAGAATAGGACATCAACAGCATCTCTCTTACAGTCTGGAGTGGTGATGTAAAGTTTGTTATCATTAACATAGTAACTATACCGTACCTAGTGGCTTTATGTAAATGCTAAAGAGCAAGGGAGAGACAACTGACCTTTGCGGTATCCCACATATCAGAGGCCATCAGGCCAGCCTTTCATCCCCCACCAGATACTGGTGGAGATAACAGTAAAATACAGCCGTTCCCTGGCTGCTAGGTTCATATATTAAGGTAAGCAGCAGTTTTGAAACCATCATTTATTGACTAAACTAATATTAAATGTATACATATGCAACATGAACTAGTCATGTTCTATGGTTACCAAGTCATGAACTATGGTTGAAAAGTCCTATAGCTCGGTTCACATAAATTGTAAACCATTATGGCTTATTGTGATGTGAAATGCAGACCCATCCAGTTATGTCTTTTATTTAACTGAAATGTTTAAAGATACGAATCTATTTAAGAAACATACAGTTTTACTAAAGAACTCCATTGTACTTCAACTTCCTTTGGTATCATAAACAGTGTTTTCTTTGTACACCCAAACAAAGCAATTTTCCAAAATGTGTCTTTTCAGTTTACAATGCAATATGTGGTTTCTTCTCCCCCTGCTTTATTGGTTTTATTCACTTTTATCATTGTTTATTTTAGCATTACTCTTACCAGTTCTTTTATAATTAGCAGACTACAAATGATTTTATAGATAGACCAACAGATAGATTAGGCTATCTCACGTTGCTGTCTCTTTGTTGAAAAACAAATCTGTCTTTTTACCAGCTAAGCTGTTGTATAAAACAAAATCATGATTCCTTAGTGTTGGATGTAAACCTGATATTTTAGTTTCCATTAGTCAGTAATGACACTAATTTTCCTCCATCTTCATTATTTCCAGTACAAAAATGGAATGCATGGCTTACTCCTTACCGTCATCACCTGGGTAGGAATTGTCATCTCCCTCGTCTGCCTGGCAATTTGCATCTTTACTTTCTGTTTCTTCCGTGGTCTTCAAAGTGATCGGAACACAATTCACAAGAACCTTTGCATTAACCTCCTCATTGCAGAATTTATTTTCCTAATAGGCATTGATAAGACTGAATATAAGGTAAGCCCTCCACACTTGCATACATGTGTGGGTTTTGTTTTCTAAGCTGAAAAAATACATCTTAATTTTATACTCCACTTTTCCCTCCGAACTGGATGATCGAGCAGACAACAATAGAAAAACAAAACACAATCAGCGGCAACAAAAATGTGGTGAAATTAACTGTGTTTATGATACATAAAGAGTAAACCCTTCATAGAAACAATTTTAAAAAGGGATTTAAATAATTTTCTGAAGGTGGAGAGAAAGAGAGCCATAATTCTATACATAACACCAGTTTTATGTTATATGGCTTAGTTCTGGTTCTCCAACCGAATGGCTTCCAGGATGGTTGAAACTGTAATTCAACACAGCTGAAGGAAGGGGCTGACTAGATGCTCATGTGCCAGAACGATTAATTTCTTTAGAAGAGAATTATTTATTTTTAAGCAGTGTTGTCCAGATTTAAGTCATGTTAAAATTATAGCTATTTTAATTAACCAGTCTCTGCATGATACAGGGAAAAAAAAGTGCTGCAACAGAAACTGTTGACTGAAAGGCCTTAGGCAGCTACATTATTCTGATTTAGGGTCATGCATATGTATTTCTAAGAGGCAGAGGTCCTACATGTGCATATAGCAAGCATTGCAATAATCATTCATGCTGGCATATGGCTCCTTGTAAAAGTTCTATGATCATACTCCTCTAACAATCAAGTGCGAATAGAGCCAAATAAAATAAAATTTATAGGAGTCAAATAGAGGCAGTACCACTGATATGAATAGAACCAAAGCAGTACTGTTAAAGGCTTAAATCCCTGTTGGGTTTTGTGGTACAGAGTTGCATCTTCTTGTCAATATGTAGATGCATTCTATAGCTAATGACGTGGTACTGCTGAAATGGTTTCCCTTCATTATCTTCACTTTTCATGATGGAAGAGTTTTTTTCTTACGTTTCAAGACCTGAGACAGAACTTCAACTTTTCTAAAATAACCTTTCCTCAAGATTAAGGATTTCATTCTTAACCTGGTTAGTGATATGGCACTTTGTCTTTATATAGAAGAGGAGAAATATGTAATATTAAAGGAAATGGAATATCCTTGCAATGGCATATTTTTTTTCAACAGAAGTTATAAATAATACATTTAGCAGCAGTGTTTCTTTATCTTTCTGTACCAAATCATTTGCAGTATAAGCCTTGCAGCAGACTGTTAAGATTTCAGTACCAAAAATTAATAGACTGCTTTCCATACTTGATATTTCATTACACTGAATAATGTTAATAGGCACGCATTTTCCATATCTTAACTTACGGAGTGCAGCGAAGGACAGGGTACAGCTACTGAGAACACACAGAGATTTAACCATGCTGAATATAAACTTCTTTGGAGAAGTTCTTTGAGTCTGAGTCTGTGTGTGGGCTCTCTCTAAAATCTGAGCACTACGTTGGAACCATATTATTCTTATTTTGGAAACATCAGATTAAAAAGAAAGGCTGTGGTTGTAGTTTGCATTTGATTGTTTCTGTTTCTTTGCAGATTGCATGCCCCATATTTGCAGGCCTCTTACACTTTTTCTTCCTGGCAGCCTTTGCCTGGATGTGCCTAGAAGGGGTACAACTCTATCTTATGTTAGTAGAAGTATTTGAAAGTGAATATTCTAGGAAGAAGTACTATTATGTTGCTGGCTATCTCTTTCCTGCTACTGTTGTTGGTGTTTCAGCAGCTATTGACTATACAAGCTACGGAGCAAAGAATGCGTAAGTAAATGCTAGCATCTAGTATTTTTGATGTATTGAATTATTTTATTAAGTGTGCTAGCTATCAGTTAGAAAGCCAAGAGATTTGAAATAAATGATGAATGAAAAACAACAAAGTAAAATAGCGTCTGAAGACATTATTAGCAGCGAATGGCAGTGTGATTCTATTTAAGTCCTTTATAATTTTTTATTTATAAAATATTTATACGCTCCGGATTCTAAATAATGGCATTACTTTATTTTACATTACAAGAAGCTGAGCTGGAATAATTAGAGTGGAAAAAGGAGTACATATTTTTTTGAAGGAAGAGCTCCAATGACTATTAAGACAACAGATCTTGGTCACTTTTATTGAACAGAATGGAGCTTACTTGAAAGCAGAAGTGTGGGGAATTTTGCTGAAATCAAACTATATTATTGCAAAATATAATGCTTTACTTAAACTTTTTTTAGACATCATTACTTAGCTGGTCTTCTGGCAGGATGTCCTCTGAACAATGGTAGCTTAGTATTTCAGCACATATTTTTCAATTTGATAATATTTTATCAGGCACGAACAAAGAGATTAAAATTAGCCGTTGCCTTCTGTTTATAAAATAGGGTATTACAGAAAGTAATAGAAGGTAGACACAAAATATTTCTGAGGATTTATGTGGCTGGAGACATAAATATGCTTTCTAATAGTGCTTGCTTTGTCCAGTGATTAAATGCTTACAGCATGGTCAGATATTGTTTAATACAAGAAGTCTGCTTAATTTTGCTGTTGATGAAAGACAAATAAATGTGATTCATTAGGGAGCTACTTGTGGTGTATAAAAAGTGAATCAGTAAATGAAGTGAGTCCTCATAGCTGATGCTTAATTTAGTTTAATGCTATTTGCTTTTAATTGTTGAATATCCAGTTGGGAATGGTGGCTTTTTATTGATGATCTATTTTTTTTGCTGAAAAAGTAGGATATCTAATTATTTTGGATAGGCATGTTTGTGATGATCCGATAATAAAGTTGAATTAAGCTTGATTCCTGGTGATTGAATAGACATGTTCACACTGTTTTCTTGGCAACAGTGTAGAAGATATTTGACACTGTCTTCTGAGATGTTCCTTTTTTTGATTTCCTGGTTTAGCTTTCAGCCTTGGAATTTTTTAATAATCTTCCTTCAAAGTACTAGTCAAGACTGACCTGGCTTGATGTTTTTTGAAATCAGCCAAGATTGCTAGGTTCTGCCCCTTGCTGTAGTTAAATAATAGATTAAACAGTAGCAGTTTTTAAGGCATTGTGCAGCAGGGAGATGGACCACACTTCTGTTTAGATCTAATAGATGTGTCAGACACATAAAAACTGGTCCATAAGAACAAAGAATTGGAGGAGATTAACGTCATCTACCATGCTGTTTATTAACATAATGTTTATGGCATTTTCTTTATTCTCCTGGCATCAACACTCAAGTTAATTTAAGAGAACAAAAAGTAGAGAGGGACAGAGGGAGGGAGAAGAAAACAAATAATGGTAAAGAAAGAATACATACATATTTGTGTATTGTATGTTGAGGTTAGATGGACTTGAGGTCTCAAGAACATAAACAGAACTGTGACACAACACTGAAGACCTATTTTTTTATTATGAAGTTACAGTTTTTAAACAGTCCTCCAACAGGAAATGATCAGTTAGGATAAAGTTGAGAATATGAGCTGGTAATCAGCACAAAAATATGATGAGGAACACAAAGAAAGTACATAAAATACATATAGTTTATTGTTCAGATTTCCACACAAAGAATGTTTCATGAACAATCCACATAACTTATTTCCGCAAGGGGAGGGAGGGAGGGGGGGAGAGAGAGAGAATGAATGAATGAATGAATGAATGAATGAATGAATGAATGAATGAATACTGGTAGTCTAAATTAGATTCTCCTTCTGTTTGCTCATGAATTATTTCTTATTTTCACTGATTTGGACAGCCTCCTCAACATTCCAAACTTAAGGTATCAAGAGATACCAGTTATTTGCAAGGATAGATTTTAAATGGATTTTCACTTAATGCCATTGCTAAAAGGGATCTCATAACCAGGAAGTCTATGAGAGTTAGTTCTTTGCAGTTTCCATAATACTATTTGTTCATGAACTTTTTTTTCCCCCCTTTTCTGAAACAGTTGCTGGCTCAAGGTTGACAACTATTTTATCTGGAGTTTTATTGGGCCTGTTACCTTCATTATTCTGGTAAGAATATGGTCGCTTTCATTTTAGACATTTGCCTGTCTTTCTCCCAGGTTCATTTGATATATTGGGATAGCAGTGATCAAGTATTTGGTTGCTCGATCATAGTATTTGTTATAAAAATACCTATTGTAAATGAAACAAAAAAAATGATTTGCCACTTTTCAGGGACATTGGTGGCTATCTTTGAAATGAATTAGGGCCTATCCACGGACATCTCTTATATACAATAAATGAGGTTGCATTGCTACTTAAATTATAAATGTGAACATTAATCCCTGCAGATCTCTGTCTCCCCTTTGGATGTCACCTTTTGGATTTCTGAATTTCTTTTTGATTTCTGATACCTAGTGAACTATGAAGGCTCCAAAGATTCTGCAGAAAAGAGCTGTTTTCTTTCATTTTCCTAAACAACAGAAAGGCAGAGGCAAGCTATTTCACAGTAAGAAGGTAACCACTGAAAAAGTTATTTTTCCAGGCCCCAGCTGCCTTGAAGTCTCAAGAACTGGTATTTGTGCTATCCTCTCCTGGTTAGACTCCAGCCCAGGAAACTGATGGGTGATTTTGGGCCTGGCACTGACTTTTAGCACAATCTATATCATAGGGGTTGTTATTGTGGGGAATGTTGGCGGAGAGAGATATGTTCTCTCTTGTACTCCCTGAGAAAATGAATTATGCTGTCATTAAGATCATTGAAAATCATGTTCATAGTGTATAATGAACAGTAGACCAACAGAAGTTTATGGAGAGTGGAGATTGGGTATAAAACCATGATAGGCTTACAGTGGTTTCTGATTGGCCACACATTGGTTCTGTTTTTGTCCTTGGAGCAAGTAGAACATGATGCGAAGATGAAGGACATTAACATCATTGTTCATGGTCAGAACACTCTCTGGCCACCCTGAGGCTTGTGGTTACTTCCATATTCCATATGGAGTCATTAAGATGGTCTAACCCATACAATTTATGTATCCAGTTTGGTTTCAGTAGGCACTTGGAAAAATTTCCAGTGATTCAGTGGATACTTCTGGAATATGAAGACAGTAAAGAGACTTGTTAGGGTTGCTCTCAAGCAGCTGCTTCTTGGAAATTGATCCAGGTGCGCTCCTTGTTTTACTGAGTAGCTCCAGGAGGTGAACCACCTGAGGAAATTCCTGGATCAACACTGGCAGAAGATGAGGAGTGAAGATGACTGTATCTGTTTATGAGCCCAAATTCAGGCCTACACTATGGCAGTGAAGGTTGTGAAGCATCAGTATTTCTCTGCATTTATTGTGTCTGAAGAATGCTGGCCATCAGTGCTTTTTAAGGTGACCCAATCCTTTCTGAGTTCTAGGACCTAGATGGGGTGATGCTCCACTGCTTGTCCTATTCGATCTCTCAGTGGTATTTGATTCTATTGACTCTGGTCTGTTTTTGCATGGTCTGCGAGGATTGGGAATTAGGGGCACTGGTTTGCAGTGTTTTCACTCCTTCCTAAAAGGACCATTCGAGTCAGTGCCCTTCAGCTCTTCAATGTATAGTGGTCCTCTATACAACTTAATATCTACATGAAGCCACTAGGGAAAATCATCCCACAGTGTAAGTCAGATATCATCAATAAGCTGATGATACCCAGTTTTACATCTGTATCAAAAGATGAGCAAAAGATGAGAGAGAAGTCCTTAGCCAGTGCCTGGAATCTGGGTCTGGGTCTGGGTCTGGATGGAGTGAAACAGACTCAGATTAAATCCCAGCAAGATGGAAGTACTATTTGTACAGACATCTCATAATTCCATAAATATTCCATTTAATGTTCTAGATGACCTGCACTTCACCTGACTGAACTGGTGCACAATTTAAGGGTTCTCCTAGACTCAGGCTTCCCTTTACTGCTGCAGATGGAGGCTGTGGCTAAGAAAAACGTTGGCCAGCTTTTCTGGTTCCTAAGTTGCACCCTCTCCTGGACCAAAAGGCATTGAAAACAGTAAATCCCCTTGTTATATCTCAGTTAAACTACTATCATTCACTTTACATGGGGCTGCCCTTGGGGACAACTTGGAAGCTGCATGTGGCCCAGAATGCTGCTATTCACTTGCTAGCCAGTTCAGCAAAATAACACCTATTTTGCAGGAGCTACACTGGTTGCTAGTAAGTTTCTGGGCCCAATTCAAGGTGTTGTGATTACCTATAAAGTCTTCTACAGCCTGGGCCCTTGTTCTGTTCGCAGCCGTCTTATCTAGGTAGAAGCTGCATGCCCTACACAGTCTAACCAGGAGAGGATAGCACAGTTCGTGAGACGTCAAGGCAGCTGGGGCCTGGAAGAATAACCTTTTCAGTGATCACCTTCTTACTTGAAATAGCTTGCCTCCACCTTTCTGTTTTTTAGGAAAATGAAAGAAAACAGTTCTTTTCTATAGAATCTTTGGAGAGAAGGATTTTTAATTGAAGGGCAGTAGTTGATACATTTTAATTTTATAGGTGTTATATGCTGTTTTACTCTTTGAATATAGTTTGAGGAGTTGGCAATATACAAATCACTAGAGTAATTAAATAATTAAATGTGGATAGTTAATTTAATTTATTTATAGTATAATTCTTGTATGTCTACTGAGAAAAAAAAATCATTTGAACTCAGTGGCACTTATACAAGGAGTGTTTGTTATTCCTTTTATTTCAACCTTGCTATCCTCTCAGGAGTTTAAACCATTTTATATATGTGGTTTCTAACTAGTCACCTGTTGGAGTCAGATCCTTTAGCTTTAGGAGTTAGAGTAGCATGTTATAACAGTCTGTCACATACTGCACATTTAAAATGGAAATGTCTAATTTCTTTCCAACATCTTTCATCTGAGATGTTATTAAGTATAATTATATCAACATCAACTTTTATACTCTTATACAAAGTTAATTTATCTTGTACTGCTTGTGTACCCTGATTCTATTAACTATTGTATGATTTGCAAGATGTGGTATATCTCAGAAACAGCAGTGACTGTATAGGGCTTTAGTTCCTTATCTTCTAGGAAATGCTTACCAGCTTTGCCAGTACAAACAGGATGGTATAGTGTTGTTTTTTTTCAAAAATACAGTGATCATAACTTATTGTAAATGAAGCAAAGCAGTCATATTATCCACTACAAGCTACACAACTGAGATCAGTGGCTTGGACTTTAGAACAGGAACAGAACTAATATAACAAACAATCCAAAAAAGGGGGTGGAATTTGTTGTAGTTGGCTAGAATGAAGGAATGCACACTTCCTGTTTGTCCAAATTCCCCCTCCCTTTGCATTGCTTTATCACACCTCATGTGAATTAGAAGAGTCATTTGACCATCTTGATTACCTTTTGAAAGGCACAATGTTAAAATGGGAAGGAGAGGTTGAGAAAAGCTGTTGAATTCATAAGTCTCTTCATGCTAATCTGGACCAAAGTGAATGGTCTTTCCCATCAAATTTATGAAGAACTATGAAATCAATTTGTGTAGTAAGTTACATAATAATGATTCATTAAACCAGCAAACTTCTCTTTCAGCATTTAGGTAAACTGGCAAATCTAGCCATGCCAGCAGTTAAAATTATCTTGATTGGACAGTAGAAACACTATATTTATCATCAGCACATACTGTAGTATATAAGGGCTGTACATAGGCAGCCTTACATAGGCAGCCTGAAGAAAGACTGATTTTACCTGTATCACAATACAGTACAGTTGAAGATTTGGTTGACAGGTAGTAGGTAATTACAAACAATCGCCATGAATGAGTTCATGGTTATTATGGTATGAAGACTATTTGTAGTTTCATTGTTCCTTATTCTTCTTGGTAATATATATTGAGAAATATTTATTATCACATTAAAAGGCTTTCTTACCTAAAAAGAAGAATCTATCTCCCATTTTCATTCTTTGAATCCTCCTGAGTAGCATGTATTGTTAGAGGGACTTGTTCTGTAAAGTTATCACTCTGTCTTCTCAAAGGTCATGACTGATGCAAGTGTGTATGGAGGACAGATGAAACAGCAAAACACACTGCGCTGCTCCTCATTTAATGTTAAAATACGTGTGACCCTTAGCAAAGCCTCTGAGTTCATATACTCACTCTCTTCAGCCTCTCTTTTTAAGTGGCCAAAAAAGGTCTTTGCTTGCATTTTGCTTCACCGACTTATTCAACTTGCTGATATCAAAGGAACATGTTTACTTAACTTGTTATCAACTTCATAACTCATTGATTGAAGCTGATCTGAACAAATTCAGTGGAGATTTTTAGGTGGTTAAGTCTGGGTTTTTTTTGTTTTTTGCTTTTTGCTTTGCACTGAACAGTAGTTTAACAAAACCACAGAAGTGTAGTATTAACAACAGGGAATAGTAAAAATAACACTCTGGATATGCATATCATCATTAAAAATGGCATGATTAAAAGAATTTCAGCAAGTCTGTTCCATCTCTTCCTCTCCCTTTCTCTTCATGTGGGCATAAAGCATGCATTTATAAATATACATATATTGATACATATGCGTGAGTGTGTGTGGATGTGTGTGTGTGTGTGTGATATATAAAAATTGTTTACTGTGCATACTTCTTTGTTCAGTTTGTTCGCTCTCTCTCTTTCTAAAACATTACATTTTTTTCTGAGCCTTGGGCATTGCTGCAGATATTGCTGTTTTCTTCTAACCAGGTCAGAATAGAAATCAGGGTGATGGACATTTAATCGTATTGACCATGTACAGTTAGAGTCCACTATTATTTACCAGCCATGACATTATTATCCTGCAAATCATTTAGGCTGAGGAGTGAAAGGCCTTTGGGAACAGTATTCCCAACTTCAGAAAATATGAAACAGCAGGTAGCAATCACTGCAGAGTTCCTTGGAGTAATTCTTCTCTGGCAATTGCTTTGCCCTCTAATCGTCCGGACTGAAAAAGAAAGGATGTATAATGATTCAGGAACAGTTCAGTGTGAATACTGTAGCTAAAAAAGAGTCATAAGCACAAATGGACAAATAGACATAATCAACATAAGTCA